AATTCATACCTAGGTATTTCAAAAATAAGGTTTGCTGCATTGACCAGACAGTTTATGTTATAAAAGCTTCAGAAATGGAAACGTTAACTTCCTGCTGTTTGATGCTAAATGATTATGTTTGATGTTTGTGAGACACTGTGGTTGAGATTTATATATATTCAACGTTTCATTGTGGAATTTTACAGGCATACACTGGATTTGGATTGAAAATGGACGATTTTTTTATGCACTTTGACGTCTACCAAAGGTGACATATGTTTGAAATAAATAAATAAATAAATAAATAAATAAAGCTGACTTGCCAGCATAAGATAACAAAATCTCTTCTAAGATTTGCATTCTAGCAAGGAACTAACTCTAAATAGCAAAAACACCTTTTTATGAGATATGGAGAAAATTCGAAAAAACTTGTACTTTACCTTCCTGCTGCATATTGAGTATGTATTTTAGCATTTTTTTAGCTTCAGTATTCTGTATCACTCTGTTTTGTACTAAGATTGGCTGGTTTGTAACAGATAGGTGAGTTGCTGCAGCAGGTGCATTGTGGGAATTGAATCCTGTGAAATGTCTGATGTACTGTCCCAGTTTTACAACCTGTCCGATAAAGGATTTTTAATACCGATCTATACTTATGTTTGGTTCTTCCTCGTTGGAAAACACCTGTTGCCAACAAGTTGCAGAGGGCCCTCAGGTGGACAGACTATGCAACATCAACACTCATAACATCACTGAAGGGTGTTTCTTCTCTATTTTTTTTTTTCACATTTTCAGCTATTGCCCAATATAAACCCCATTAAAGTACAAATCAGTGAATAATTAATATCACTGTGGACAATATATTTGGTAGGGACAGAAAATAAAAGTATTATAGATAAATGTGTCAAAAATAAAAACACATTTGCATACCAAACTCAGTCACCTACCTGTTGTCTTTTATTTTCTCTCCATTTCTTGTTTTTTGTGGGGTTTTTCTGCCCGTGTGTTCCTTTTATGACATATAATTCTGTGAAATTCTGGTAAGAAAGCTTATCCATGGCTCTTCACCTTGCAGACAGGAAAAAGAAGTAATCCTTGAGCAAACACGAGCCACCTTTGACTGGTTAGGAATGTTATCAGGGTCCATATACTTTACCCTGGGTTGACAAAGGTAAGATCTCAGGCTTAAAACACTTCCCCAACAGCTGTTTGCTACATCACTCTTAACTGTCTACCCCCCACACTGGACTGAAAGCACAGGCGCAGGGTTGCTATCTATAATAATCTTCTCTGTCCGTCTCTTTCATCAGGGCTGGTTGGAGCAACATCAGGGCGAGCTTTCTTTTAGACAAGCAGTAAAAAGACCGGCGTGATTAAGATAGATAGACCGACTGAGACCCTTAATCTTCTGTCCAATGAAAAATGTTAACTGCATCCTGATGTTCTCCCCCCATGTAGTGCAATTAGCGTGAATTACCACTGTGTGTTTAAACTTATGAAATGACCAAGAGGTAATTCCTCTTTATTTCTGATATACCTACTTGTTTTTTCTGCTTTTGTATTTAAATTTACAGTATTTAGAAGATACATCAGAAAATTCATGATAAGATTGTCTTTGGTCCTGCACGATAAACTCCTAGGTGTCAGGAGAGAAGCACAATGGCAGTAGTGGTGCTCCCTTCCTTACATCTGAGGAGAAAGTTATTCTAGAGGTCCCATTAGTCAAACCTTCAGTGCACGAATGCTGCCGTTGTGTTTTCACAGGGTCCCTTGTACTGTCATAGACGGATGAGGTTCACTGAGCAAAGATAGAGCTGGTATTATTATAAACCATGGCCTTTCTCTGCACTTAAGACACAGACAGAAACACATACACAAGTTTTCAGACGTTTGACTACTAAAAGTCTTTTCTCATTTTTCCTCCCTTTAATGGTGACTCTACATAAACAACTGTGACACACAGAATGCTAAATGTAGATAAAGTCAGTAGTAGCAACAAAATCCCTCTTGTGCTATACCCAAGTTGGTTGGAGACACATTTCTAAGTTCTGTAGTTTCCTAAGATATTCTGAATTTGCTGGAGGGTGGAGTAGCCCCCAACACTACCTCCCTTAATTACGAACTCAGTCAACATCTCACTCTAGCAGACCGCTGCCACTGCCTGGTTAATTGATGAGAAATGACTATTTCCTCCAACTCGAAGAGTGAAAATTACTTTCTGTGAGAAAACGAAAAGCAGACGCAGCGTAGCTCTGAGAGCTTTCGAAGGACATGCTCATTGCGTACAAACAGATTAATCGGCGAAATTCAGCTTGATAAATTCCCCGTTACACTGTGATCCATGAAATCCATCAGTTGTTAGCTGTGCGCGTGTTTGACTTACAAACTGCGAAAAATAAAATAAGCCATCAGCTTATTTTATGGTGTTGATGGCAGGTTGGACATGCTAATCTTATTTGGGAGCAACAACACTGTAGAAAGAGCAGGAGCAGGAGATCCTGTGATGCCAAATTTGGAAGTTTGTTTGTTTGAATTGTGTATTCATTTCAGAGAGACGGTCTTGGGCTTTTTGGAGACACAAAGTCTCAAAGCCTGAAAAAGCAGAGTGCCTGCCAAGCAGTATCAGATATGGCTTCAGAATTCGCATCTTATTAACATCACACAAGAACCATATTTGAACATAGCACCTCACAGATCTTCAAATTCCATTTAAAAGGATTTAATTTAGGAGTTATTTAACCAATAAATTATTCCAATAAAAATATTCACATAAAACGTCTTTTATATGAATCTGGATTTTCAGGCTAAACTCACACTTGAACAAAAATAAAGAGAGCATTCTCCTTCCTCGTCTTTTCCTCCTCTTTGAGTCTCTTGGGGCTCCCTCTGACTTCCTGCCATTAAAGAGACAGCCCACTGGAGAGCATAGGGTGACTGACATATAGCTACCTTTGCTGTATGAGCATTTTTGGAATTTTGCGGTTAACACAGAGAAAAGTAGGAAGACGTCAGGAAAACAGAGATGTGTTAGACAGAGACGCAGCAGTACGAGATGTCTGTGCGTGAAAACCGGACAGCTGTGTGACATCCAGAACGGAAAATTCAGTGCAGTCAATGTACACAGTTATGTAACCAAATACTCCAGTCTGTCCTCTTTTGTGTGTTATCAAAAACACATATTTTGTTAACTAATAAAAGTCTGTTTGTCGACTCAGAAGAAAAGAAGATTAATGCCACTATGAGACCAGGCTGCTTTCTCAACAACTGAAGGAGTTATGAGGTGTAAGTCAACCAGTTGACAGCCGTGCATTTTAACATTTTTGATGTTGTCAGTGTTTTGTGTGGTAATCTCTGGAATTTTATTTTGAAAGTGGCCACACAGCATCACCCTTTGGGGGGGGGATATGGGTAAAAGAAAGCTGCACTTTTCCAAGGCACATAAACTCTCCTACTGACAAGCACTTTGACAAACTACGTGTCGACTACATGAAAACAGCAAACACTGCATGGTTTTAGTCTGACAGCCTCATCCACAAACCAAAACAAGGTATCTAGTGAAGCTACAAACAGACGCTCTGGGGAGACCACACACCCAAGCAGACACAAATATCTCAACAAATAACACACAGCAGCCACTTCAAAAGAAAAAACTCATGCAGATGCAATTCTAAGATTTTCAGCGTGGTTCTGATTAAAACAGGAAAATTCCACTGCGTTCTTATTTCAGCTTATCTTTAAGCCAAGATCATGTTTAAAAGAAAAGAAAGATCTAGCACCTGATGCTCCACATAAAGTTCCTCCTTACCTTCTGTAGCCACTGGGTGTAATTCTCCATAACGTTCTCCAGCTGCTGGATCTTCTGGCTGGGAAAGTCTGGCTCAGGTGGTGGAGCGTCCCTCTGGAGAGAGTTGGCGTTGTACTGCGAGCTACTGGCCTTCGCTTCCTTGCAGGAGCCTCCTCCAGCTCCCTCTCCCTCAGGTAGGATGAAGGTGTAGGTGCACTGGCCATGCTGGATCTTATGAAAACGTCTGTTATTGGAATTACTGCTGCTGCTGCTGCTACTACTAGTAGTACTCCCTCCATTACTGCTACTGCTGCTGCCGTCCGTCCCTCTCCGTTGCTCACCTCCTCCGCAGCTCACAATCACCAGAAGCGCCGCAAGCGACAGCAGGTGACGACTGTAGTGGTACCACAGCATCATATCAGCCTGGAAGCGCTGTTAAGGGTGATTAAATTTCTTGTGTCTCTTGTTTCACCTTCTATGCTTTACTAGATGTTCTCTTAAGGGCTGAATCAGAAAACGTTAGCCTGAAACATGTATCCTCCATCCTTAAGTTGGACCTCCAGCAGTCAGAGTTCATGCAGACTTTTTTGCCATGGACGGGACACACATGTATGTTTCCAAACCTCCTCTTAAGCTTTTGTCCTGGCAGGGAAAGTTGCACACATGTCTTGGAGTGTGACAGCTTGGCTATATTTCTTGGTGTTCCTCCAGTAAATCAGAGCCTGCCTGCGTTTATCAGAGTCTGCATTTAAAGTAGGTGCTGGGTATGCTGGGATAGTGTCGTCAGACCTCCCCTGGTCTCTCTGCCGTTCTTTCCTCCTCTGCTCGCAAACTTAACGACTGGGGGTAGAGAGTGAGAGAGAGAGAGAAGGAGGGAGAGAGAGGGAGACGCTCACTCTGAAGAGCAGTTCCAAGCTTCCAGCACACTCTGCGCCTGCCCCTCGCAGAGCCTGCAGAGGAATGTGACTCTGTGCATGGACGTATTTGTGTGTGTGTGTGTGTGTGTGTGTGTGTGATTCTGGCAGAATGAGACCTCGGCACAGAGGACATGCTTAGACTGTGGGGATCAGCTTTCAGGCCGGTTTATGTGGTTGACCTGCTCCCTTGCCTGTGTAAAATAATAATAATAATAATTTAATTTATCTCTTCTTTTCTCCCTGCTCAGCTAATAACAGGTGCTATGAACCTGTCACCTGTGCTCGAGGTAGCTTATGTTCTTCTGCTTATCTCTTGAAAGTACAAATCCACAGTCAGGACAAGCATTTTTTTAATAAACTGCAGCACCTACATGAAAGTAGCCATAGGATCAAACTGCAAACCTACGTAGTGGCTAATGGACATCAAACCATACCCCTGAGCTACATTTACCACAAGATATTAAGTATGTTTCATTCCATAGAATTTGTTGCAGTAAATTTAAAAGACTATTGGAGAGCACTCAAACACCAAAAGTGCCCACCATTCTATCATTTTGCTAATGTTTGCTAAGTCTGTTTGACACTATACATACTGTAAGTAGTATATACATATATGTACATGCAAATATATAATATGTACTATAGAGTAAAGTAAAAATTCAGCAAACAGTCACAAAGCATCTGTGGTTGGACAAAGCCTACTGTCATGGGCTAAGTTTACTAGTTGCAAACCTAAGTCAGCAACCTCCTTATGACTAATAAAAGCCATGTTTTTCCCAGTGATTTCATTGTATTGAATTGCATTTAACAACCAATTGCAAGCAGTTGCTGTGACCAACTGGTTGCTCAGACACTGGCTGTGCAACATCCTCAACCTCTGGGTGACCACTTTTGATTGCACAGGTCACCTCCTGGGCAACCTATCTCCAAACAACTGCAGTCTGACTCAGACAGACTACAATCACTCAGAGAAAGTTTGCAAATACGCACTGTCTAGTTTATAAATGCAGACAGATTGCCAACGCACTGCAATCAGTCTGAGTCAGTCTGAGCCAGTGAGCGCAACTTGTCTCCAATACTTCTTTATGCAGTAGAAGACCTGACACATCTGGTTGAAAAATGGTTGTATGGAGCCTGATCTATGGGAGGTCTTGTCCACTGAATTTGTACAGTAACAAATTATTAAACTGTAACTATTATGGCTTGTTTTAGACTTGAAATCATACGGCTTTTTAGGTGTCATTTTGCTTGGTATCTTAACTACAAGAGTTTACATAATCACAAGTATATCACATGCCTTCCAGTGTCACGTTTTCATGAAAACAAAAGTGAAATCCAAGAATGAGCAGGGAATAGATGGAATGCCGCTTTATCATTAACCCTTAAGAGCCCAGACCTATTTCTACTTTCATGAAAATTACGGGGGTCTTATATCAAATGAATCATATATAACCAAGTCTCTAAGTGTAAAGAGGCAGTGACACCAGTGTCACTGTGGGTCCTTAAGGGTTAAGCCAGAACAAGGGGCAGCGTGAGGAAATACAGCGCTGAAAGACCCTGGGTTAAAGGTCAAGTCCTTGTTACGGCCAGCCTATTAAAATCTCTGATTCCGGGAGACACAGCTGTCTGATTTCTGGCTGAATTTCAACATTCCTCATCAGTTCAAGACATTCAAATTTGTGTACATGCTTGAGTGTGTCTGTTTTTCTGTTTGCGTGTGTGATGTATGTGCAAATACTGTATCCAGCGTATGTTTATGTATATCCTTCTGCTTATGCATACTCACAGTACATGTCACAGAATTCTGCGTAATCCTGTGTGGGTTTGACATCTTGTGTATCCAGTGATATCAGAAGGCTGAAAAAAGTTGGGTCTTGTGTGTGGGAGCAGAGGGGTGGTGTGAATGAATGCATGAAGGAGACCCAAGATAACAAACCCTCTGAATAACCCAGACTGGCCAAGACACAAAGCATGTTTGCTCTTGGAATGCTTTTCTTAGGTTGACGTACTTTGCTGGTGTCCTAAAAGTGAGGCGCCTTTTCCTGTGTCCAAAGGAAACTAAGGAGGAGATAATTGTAAGAACTGGGGCTTGTAAATTAAAACAGCACATGACTTTGATGCACAGCTATACATGAAAATATCTAAACAAATTTAGGAATTATGACTTGGTATTCGTTTAAAGCTACAGCATAGATATTTTCACATGCATCATGTAGGAAGAACAATGTCAGTTATTTATTTTTTAGCCTTTAATAAAACAGACAAACACAGAAAACCAGAGGTATTAAAATAGAACATTAAATAAATGTGTTTTTTCTGTTTGAAGCTGCTACGGTTAGAGGGCATTTTGCTTTCTGTAGCCTGATATGGTCACTGCAAATCAGTTCAAAGTTACTCTTAGTAATCACTTTTATCCTGTGAGGAAGCATCTTATTGAGATTAATGCGTGTGTCCACGTGGTTTTCGTTGAAGAAGGTCCATAAAACATTTTTGGAACACAAAACGCTTAGTTTTCAGCCATCTCACATCCAGCAGTGGCTTGTTTTGCAAAGGAAAACACACAAGCTGTTTATATTCATGAGTTAGTAACTGAGTGCTATAATCTCAGATCTGAAATCTTACTGGAATGTAAACTTATTGAGAAAACAAACAGTTTACAGAGCAACGAGAGAAAAATGATTCACTAACTCTTGGCATCCCATTCTGCCTCCTCCATGTGTACATCCAATACATACCCAGTTTAGTAAAATATAAAAATCTACATGTATACACAGGTATATATATATATATATATATATATATATATAAATGGAAGTACGGTAACATATAGTTTGCTCAGGCTAGCTAGCTGGCAGGACGGTTAGCTAGGTTCAACAGATCCAGGAAGGGGCTTTTCTTTGTGGAGGTTGAATGCTCTTCCTGGGTTGTCTGAGTCAGGACACATTAATTTGTGCTTCTAAAGTGAACGTAGTACAAAATGACAA